CTTGTTTGGGGATTTTTAATTATCACAAGAACAGACATCATCTACAACACCAGTGAGTTTTCTAAGTCTTCTATATGAAACTGATATGCAACAGAAAAAAGCTTAGGTGATTTTTGTTCAAGGCCAGGTTGGACAGGGCCTTGAGCAACCTGATCTAGTGGGACATGTCTCTGCCCATGGCAGGGTGGTTGGAACTAGATGATCTTAGGGTCCTTTCCAACTCAAACCATTCTGTGTATCTGTGATTTTTTTATTTTTTTTTATGTCTGCTCTAGGCAACATTGCAATCTTTCAACGCAAACAAAGGGAGAAGTATCATAGAATGGTTTGGGTTGGAAGGGACCACAGCTTAAAGTTCATCAATATTTGTTATTTCCTAGTAAGTCCAGGCACTTCCTGCAGAAACTCAAGATATAAATAATAATTAAAATGTGGTATTGCTCTTATCTGCAAAGTGCAAAATAGCAAGCATTGCAGCACTACATAATTCTTACACCTCCTTAAGAAAAAATATTATTTTTTTACAATTTCTTGAGTAGACCATAATGAATATCTCAGATTTTATTCAATAGCACTGCACTAGCACTGAGATCAGGCTGCTTATTTATATTTACTACTGATCTACCACTTTTTAAAACTAGGTCTTTCAGAAAAAGTTCTGACATTAACCCCAAATCAGGATAAAATTCCCGTAGTGTTTCATATGAATGTCAGATTTTCCCTAAAACCTGAGTTTCCAGAGCTTTGACACAATAAAATGAGTGTGCAATCAAATCTACATACCAGAAAACTGATGGCTACAGTAACAAGTATATTAAGTCTGTACACTGGGCAAAGGTTCTCTTACGGTTACAGTCATTTGACCTTTAGCCAGCTCTTAATGCCCCAGCCAACCCTCTAAAGATGGAGATTTGCAGCAGCTTCTTGTCTGAAATAAGCCATGAAAAGATTCTTCTGAACCCACTGTACAAGCATTCATTTAAAATGTCATGAATGTGCATGAAATCAGAGTGCTTCTAACAGCTTACTTTGCAGCTTCTGTTTAAATGCACTAACTCTGAACCACCAGAGGATAAAAGGACTCAAACCTTCCAGTCTGGCACTCATGGACCTAAAATATACACAAGCACCTCTTCACAGGTGTGTTTACCTAGTTTAAACCTTATTTAAATAGACTCTCGATGCACACACTTTCCACAAACACCTGCTTCTCCCACTGCAGTGCTGACTTGTACAAGGCAGTTGTATTTAGTCATTTTCTATCCTAAAGCCATCCTACAGACCAGTAAGCAGTACTTCAATCACGAAAATCCTGGTTACTGACTCATCCCCCACAGTCAGAGCGAAGCACAAATTCTGCAATGAGGAGAACAACTACAGAAGTATCTGCTCTTACCTCCATATCGTTCTGGAATGGTCTGAAGACTTCAACAGCCACAGCAAGATTTAAGAAACCCAATCCTCATCAGATCATAAAAAAGTAGGCTTATAATTAACTCGTATTTCCAGCCATCTGTGGTTATAACACCTCTCCCTAGTGAGCTAATGAGCATCCTAAATTGGAAACACTCATGAAAGAGACAATGCTCAGTTATCACTGGATGCCAAAAAGAAGCTTCCTTCTGTTGACCTAAATCCATAAGAAAATTGACAAAACAAACAAATATTTCAATATCCGGACACATTTTCTAGATAGCCAGCTAACTTTAAAATGGAACCAAATGGAAGCTGTGGTGACAGTGACCCTAGATACAAACTTGCACCATCAGTAAGGCTTCCATCAGTTTTAAAACAACCTTTGAAGATGTAGTTGTATTTCAATTTTGTACTCATGGACAAAGATTGATAGTCACTGCTTCCCATATGGCCATAACTCAGGATGCCAATTTTCACTTTTTCTAATCACTGGAAATGCAAGACACCACATCCAACTTAGGCTTACGGTGCTTATCTCAGTACAACAAGCATTCAGCTGTTAAATTTATCCTGGGGTAACTCATGCATCACCCACAATGACAGAAGCTCTGTTTTTCCCTTCTGTTTTTCAGGCAACTACTATTGTTAATACTTAAAATATATGCAGCCCATAAAAGTGTACAAATGGTATACAGTAAACCAAATGACAGTGGATAACGGAAGACAAGCTGTTCATTTTCAAATTATTAAATTGCTTTTATAAATCTACATAAAATTGCCATAGAAATTAAGTTTCTCTCTCAGAATTTTAAAGTGCAACATCATTCCATTTAATTCAGGTCCAAGGCCCTTAGCTAAGTATGCTGAACTGCAGAAGTGAAGTTGCCCTTACAATAATCCATGGGATTGTCTGTGATGGGATTGTCTGTGCTGGGATTGTCTGTGCTGAGCAACAGCATCTTCTCCAGATGCTTCCTTCAAGAGCCTATTTAGACATTACAATGGGATGGGAGAGGATACCACCACTTAGCTGCAAGCAAGCTTTTACTATTTTGGTAATCAAATTAAAAAAAAAAAAAAACCAAAAAAACTTAGTTACTCTTGAGGAGCAGTACTTTGTAATGTGGCTCCTTAGCTGCTGGAGGTATTCGGTGCATCTTTATACCCTGCACCAGGGTATTTCAGCATCACAGTCATGATAGAGTTAATACCCACTAGCTCAGAGGAGAACAAAAGGTACTCCACTGCAACATGCCTAACATTTACATTGCCTCTCTTTGCTCATTAAACAGGTTTTGGTTAAATAATGAACAAACTGTATTACAGACTCCGATGAGAATTCCAAAATTATAAATCAACTGGTAAAGCCCAGAGGAGAATGAAGGGAGTGGGAGGGAAGGAAGGATAATATTGACTAATATAAAGGGCGCAGCTTGACAGTGGATATTCCTGCCACACCTGATCAAACATGCTCCATGGGGGAGGGGAATGAAGGGAGAGAGCAAGAGGGGAGATGGGACAAGGCAGCCTGAAATTTGCATCCGGAACAGATTAAAATGGGTTCTTGGGGGATTGAGAAAATACATAATATATATTACTATAAATGCAAAATTGTACCAAAAGCTAACTCAAATGTCAAAGATTACAGCTTGAATAAATTTAAATATAAAAGCAATGCGTTTCCATGAGCTAATGAAAGAGACATGAAAGGAAGGTCTAGGCAAAAAATACCCCCAAAACCACCCACAAAAAACCCTAGGCTTGGACTTTGCCTGGAAGATGAAGCAGGAGACTCTCTATTATTCAAGTATTGCTTGGGAACCAGTCCATGTCTGAAAAAAAAGGGGAAAGAAAAAAAAAAAAAGCGGCATAGCAACAATGTCCCATCTCAAGACCCTAGTCAGTAAATAGCAGTCGCTGAAGCTGAAATTACCTGTTTAAAAGAACTCACTGTAGTAGTCAAGCCAATATGCTATCATCACCACATATGAGCAATTACTATCTCAGCATGGACCACACTTACATGATGACTAATACTCACAGGGAGTCTCGGAATCTCTCAGTACATTAAACTGCTTTCTCTAACACAAGGAGATACAGGGCTTGCATTTTTTCCTCAACAAGTCAACAACACATTGTATCTAGCTACTCTAGATAAATGGCCAGTCCCTGACATTTACTCACACTGCATCTATTTGAGTATCCTGCCATTCCATGCTCTTGTTGATGAGAAGAACTATTTGCAATAATGGCAAAGAACTTCAGGAGTCTTAAAGAAAATCATATCTCATGGAAGGGAGACAAGGAAAATTTTGTCCCAAAACACTTTTGTTGACTGTATGCATATCCTACAGAAGATGAATGAGCTTACAACACTCCACAAATCCAGACTGTCATGTAGTCTGGGTATAACATCCAGAACAAAGATACCATCCAGAAATGTAAGCTGTTCCCTAAGATGTCATGACCTGACAGAAGAGTCCTGCTCACAGCCAAAGGAAGTTCACCTGGCAAAGCAAAGCAAAGAATTATACCTACAGGCAGTCACAAAAGAGGAATGAATAAGGGCTTAGAACTGGTACATGTCCTCAGCATCTTTCAAAAGCACCTGGAAGCAGCACCATTGTACTTCTAGAGAACATACTTTCTATGGGATTCCAGGCTCAATACTGAGCTGACACAAGAATGGGCATGCTTTGCAATTAGAAATGCAGAAAGTCCACTCAGACTTAGGTTCAGTGCAGCTCTGAACACTCACTATAAGGGACCAGAAGTAAAGCTTATTTTATTTCATTCTTTCATTCTTAATTACTTTCAAATATTACAATCAGTAAGACAGCTCCTGGGAAGAACCAGCAGAATGCCACATACATAGAGCTCAGGATTAGCCCTACTTCCAGACTCTCAACATACACTTAAACAATCACTCCTGAAATTACAAAAACAGAAAACATGTGAAGGAAGGGGAAAAAGACAGGTTAAGGGAAAAAAAACTGCTCAGAATACACATCACAGCCTTGTGTTCTACTTCTGAAATCAATACAGATTTCCAGTTCCTTTCAGTGCAACTGGTCACAAAGTAAGCCTTTCACTTCAAGATTCAAAAGACCCAAGTGGAAAGTGAAGCCTGTGCTTCACTTATTACTGATAACAGATGATGAAAACCACAAATAGAAGAATGTGAGGAAAAAACAGATAATGGGAGGCTACTTTCTAAGCAGATTTTCCCCACTATTCACAGATCAGAAAGCATAAACAAAGCACAGAAATACTGTATACACCCGATCACATATATTGCTACAAGCTTCAGTATATTAAATCTTGCATATTTATATATACGTGTGTGCACACACACACAAAAAGTATGTATATATACACATACATATATCTCTCCAGGCAGTGGCAGCAGTTGTATTTGTGTAATAGTTTACATTTGTACTATTCGTCTAAAAGTATATACATATTTTTCTTGTTATTCAATATCTGACTGCTGGATAGTAACTATGACAAGCAAGTACATGTGTACATTTACTGTCACATACACTATCAGGTATACACACCTGCTGATTTCTGTATAAACTTACCTGTTATATTATTCAGCACGTCTTTTAAGAAGCTAAAGCTATGCAGCAGGGGATCCCTTTCTTCATCCTATAGGTTATATATAGAAAGTCATTAATGAGGCAGACATTTCTGAAGACAAATCTTAATAATGGGCCTGTAAAGACCCATTCATATTCACAGGGCCAAGTTCATCACTGTCAGCGCGTTTACTCCATCAAAATCAAGAGAAGCATTTTTATTTTCCTGCTAGTGCTCCCCAATGTCATACAGCTCAAATGTCAAAGCACAGGTTCAAGACTGAGCATTCTGATTTGGTTTTATTGTCCTTAGAAGTATTTCTGATTAGCCTTCCACTGTTCAATAAATTTCAGAGTAAATCTAACTCATACCATATTGAAATGGCTCATCTGGATTTGCTATAATGTTAATCTATGCAGATTGTAATGGGAACAGAAATGCAATGACATTTGGTGCCATTAAAATAACTTGAAAGAAAAAAAACACAGTGCAAAATTTATATGAATAGCTGCATCCTTTAGCCTTAGCCTATCTTTACGATATTAAAATAATGAGGAGCAGCAGTTTCCCCAAGCTGTGTACATCTGCAGCCACACCTCCTACTGGGTGGCAGTGAGTTCTAATGAAGAAATGTCTATTAGAAACAATAAGGGCACTGTCCTTCGACAAACTGAAACCACTTGAGCTGGGTGACAGCCATCTGTTCTTCATGTGACATTCTGAAACACACCACAGACGCAGTTCACCACGTGCACGTGTTTATACTGTGGAAGCCATAAACTGACCAAAGCATCATTAAACTTGGAAACATTGTATTAATGGCTTTTAACAAAACAGGTTTGCAACTATTAACAGGTTTCAGTGAGGAATACATCCAGCAGTCACAAAGCAGAGCTAAAGATACTATGTCATATGAAAAATTAATATATACCCTACATATAATGACTTCCTCAATTTTTATTTCATGGCTTTCATGATAAAGACTGTCTTCTCTAAGAGAGCACTCAAGATACATAAAACCACTGTGCTAAATAAAATAATGTTATATATTCAAAACCTCTGGTATAGCAGGCAATAAAAGTCTAAATGAGATGATTCCCATGTGGAATACAATGAGGGGTTTTCTGTTTACTTATGAGGTATATGGGCAGATTTCCAGCTTTGTACCTCTTACAGTTGCTGGCACACAAGAATAGCCAAAATTGCTTGGCATGAAACAATGTAGAAAGTTATTCCAAATTTACTTACAAAGTACTGTAACAAATGCTAAAAAAAAAAAAAAAAAAACCCAAACAAAAAAAAAAAAAAGAGGTTCTTTTCTAAAATCAGGTGGTCTCTGCCACAGCACGAAGAGGTAGCATCAATTCAGGGTAACTTACCAAATGTGTGTGTGTGCTCCATCGGGCATTACGCTTTATGGCTCCCACCACCGCGTTGATTTCACCTTGTACAATGTAAATGTTCTTATCCACCATCCTGACAATTCTGAAAATAAAAGTAATTCGAATTAATCTCCATCCCCTCAGAATCATTCTCTTCCTCAGATGAGACACCAACTTGGCCTTAGTCAAGCAGGAGGCCTGCAGCGACGCAAGAAACTCCTTCAAATCTTTCTTTTGTGCATGCAGACAAATACAGTTATTTTATCAAAAGGAAGACAAAAGAAAAGTGCTTTTATACAGTGTGTGTTTTCAAGACCATGACAGAAGACAGTTCTAACAGGGCATCTGTGAAGCAAGAGACAACTTTTCCAAGGCACATTCCTCAGTTTTTTTCTAGTCTATGTAAGCTCACAGAAAGATAAAATGCTGGGGTACCGGGACAGACACCCATGACAATGCAATCACACGCACATCTTCAGTAACATGCAAAGTCCTGCAGCTCTACACAGAACACAAAGCCAATCTTATACTCTGATAAATAAGCATCAATGGCTTACCAGAGCAAAACTCTTCTTCTGGACTTTAAACTTTGACAAAATAAAGGAATTTATAACAGATATTGATTTCACACTTACTTCATGAAAAAACCTATCAAGAAAGCAGGCAAGTAAAAAAAAAAAAAAAATTAGGTAAGACCCCCACAAAGAAATGAGCAAAACCAGAGACAAAACTGGATGGAACACAGGGAGAAAAAGTGAGAAAGCTGATGGCAGAAATTTGCTCTCATGTAGCCTGAGGTTTTACAGGGGAAAACTTAAACAGATGTACCCAGAGAGGCAGAAGAAGCAAAAACAATTATACAAGCAAGAAATACTTGTAATGGTCTGAGAAAAAGAAATAAAGAGTGGATTACTATAGGATTGTTCTCTCTATACTAGCTGCAGCCCAGACACAGTCGAGCATAAAGAAATAAGAATGGAGGGGACTGAACAGAAACAGCTGTTTATAAAAAATAAACAGGACATATAAAGAGGCCAGAGAGTCAGATGATAGCATGTCTGCAATTGAGAGGGATTTAGTGAAATGATAGCCAAGTAATGAGACTTTTTCAGAAGATATGAAAAGAAAACGAGGAATCCAGTTTGAAATCACAACAGGCCATCGATAGGGAAGAAAAAGACTGAAAACAGATGAAACATTGATCATAAGTCTTGAAATCAGACAGGCTTATGTAAAGGACTCAGTTGGGAAGAGGGGATGGAGAATAATAAAACACAGAATACAAGAAGGATTTTTGCTCATGTAGCAAAAGCAAAGCTGGAAGGAAACAGTTATTGCTGTATTACTCCAGAGCTCAGAAACACCACCACAGAAATTTCAGAACATACATCCTGAATCTGTCTGGCTTCGTGTTAATTGACATCTCTGAATTATCAAAAACACTTCAAATACATGAATATCCCAAGCGAGACTAATTTTTGCTTCAGGACTCTAAACAACAGAAATGAAGCAAAATATTATTAAAAAAACCCCAAACATATCAAGGTAGAGCATCAGATTTGTCATTTCAGCTTTTTGCATGTTTGTAATAGGCAAAACTGTTTCTAATTTCATTAGTTTAGTTATTCATAATGGTATTTCTAAGTGTCACACAATTAATCTGGAGTAAAGACAAAAGTGTTTTATAATACAGGAACTGCTATGACAGATCAGATCAATAGTTTATCATCTCGTTCACTACCTCAGAAAAACAAATAGTTCTGCCAAGTAGTTTGCTTTCACCCTGAAGAACAAAGGTTTATATCCTCCCTCCCTCCACAGCTGCACATAACAGAACCACAGACATTCTTCCTACTTACGTGTCTAATGCTTGAGATGTTCCCATCCTCAGCAGTAACTTATTCCATATATTGACTGCATTAAAATACCCCTGGTAACAGTTTTTCCTACTTCAGCATGTTGTCTTTGTTTTAGTACAAGGCATTAATGAGAGATTTTATCCTCCACATAGAATTCCTCACTTACTTCTTCTTTCAGCAATTGCAAAATTTTCCACATTTCTATACAGACAGTTTGAGGGATCAAACCTCTGATCTGCAGAAGTACTTTAGGGGAAATACTTCATACATTCAAATTCGTCATAGCTCAAGTTCTTCCCTATCTCCACCATTAGAAAACAATATTGAGCATGTAACCTTTGCGGTGCCATTCCAGGCATTTAGTAAACTGACATAGAAACAAAGACTCCCCAGCCCAATTTGGGAAAGCATGTGAATACCAGACATATGTATCACAAGCCCTGCACATACAAAGATATTCAATAGTCCTGCCAATATTTAAGGTGATGCCAAAGCTTAAATGCTATTCTGCATACTACTGAATCTGCTTGTAGGGCCCCTATTTCTTTCCCTCTACTCTTAACCTAAAAGAATCAAGACACAAAAGTTTGTTAGATTCAGTCCTTCCTGAATGAAGGAGACTTACAATGCTCAGCTGTTCCCAAACCTGGTGCTATCTCCAAGCAGCCAAATATGAGGAAGACAGACACAGACCTCCAACACACACCTTTTCCTTTTAATCTGCTGGGAAACTGAATGTGCTGATCCTTTCAAGCAAGGATGCAAAAGATCCATGTTGCTTGCAAGGCTCTCCTGATACTAAAATTCTGCAAAAGTTAAGGGGTTTTTTTTTGCAGTTATATCCTTTCATTGCTAACTATCTGAGAAGCCTTGGTGAGAATGCACTCATTTCCTCACTGCAGATTTCATTAAATATAACTTTATTCAAAAGTACTAAAAAAACCCCCAAAACACTTTATACATGCCAAAAACTTACTGGTCCAATGCAGTTGAAATAACTTATGCTGGAGACACTAACTCACTTTCAAATCTTTAAGCATGGGGTGTAGGTGTGCATGTGGAAATCCTTCTTTACATTTAAGCTTGCAGTTAGCCAAGCAATAGCATACACGCATTCCAAAGTAAACCCCAGCCAAACAGCTTCATTCACACAAAGAACCTTTGCAATTGTGTGCTGGAGAAGGAAACAGAAAATAATTAATGACTGGTGGGGAGGGAAGACAGAAAACTATTTTCAGAGATGTATCTTGTAAGCTAAAGCCACCAAAAGCACCATCCATCCCTGTAAAAGTTTATTTCAGGCAATAGAAATAGGTTCTCTAAACTCCACATTTCCTAAATCCTACCCTTTTTAAACTACCAGGTAATTTCAGTATGCATTATTTCAACTCTATCTTCATTGCTAAAAACAACTGCTCACACAGATGAACTGAAAGATACACTGAAAGAAGTTTCAAGATTGAAATTAATGCTCTAAAGCTGCAGAGAGAAAGTGACGAGATTTACCAGACCAACTCCAAATGATCAGTTTGGTTTATGAGAGCATGGTGGTAGTCAAGCAAAACCACTAACTGTTTGTTCAACATACCAAAAAAAAAAAAAAAAAAAAATTGCTGACAGGAATTCAGGCTTAATGTTACAAAGGTATGGTCAGAAGAGTGGGATATTGTGTAACTGTTGGTTGGACAGGCTAACAGAACCACCAGTGCTGAAGATCAGTAAAAAAAAATAGCAAAGCCACGGTTCCAAAACCTCTTGATGTCTTCAGATCAAGACTGGATACCTTTTCTGAAGGCAATCTTTAATCAAACACAAGATAGTGGACTCAGTACCGAAACAAACAGATTAAGTTCTGTGGTCTTGAGTTACGCAGAAAAAACAGTGTATATGAACCCAAATTTTTCCTGGGTATTACCCTAAGAAGTCTCAGGTATACTCTTAGGAAACACTCCCTCTGTTGTACAGAAATGTCTGCAACTCTTCTGGAAACAAGCAAGAGTTCGCATCGGAAGTGACAAAATCTGGCAGACATCCATCAAGTCACTTCTGCCTATCACTAACTTTCACCTTCAGCTATGAAAATTGACTCAAACCTGGTGAAACTACTCCAATAAATAGTAATAATAAACAACAATGTATCTACCACATATGCAAGAAAGGTAGTATTTCGAAGTAAGCTTCTGCTGACCTAAATTTGCACCGTTTATGATAATGCATAAACAATCTACATAGTCTCTGACCTAGATTTGGCCACTGGAGTCCCAATATAATACACTGGTATCAAAACAGAAACACAACACCCTTTAGTTCACGAATCACAAACAATTCCTGCCTAACTCAGAGCTAGCTAGGTTAACCAGAAGCCCAGCTGGCAACGAGAAACCTCCCTTGCTTCCTTCTAAACTGCATGCAGAAGGTACATGCAGTACTGTACTTGCAGAACTTCACTTGCCTGGGTTTTTCATGTAATAACTACTCTGTAATAAACATCACTGGCAGCAAAAGTTCAGAGAAGTCAACATGTTTCTGCAAATGCTAGCTCCTAATGCCTGGACAAAAATAATAGAAAAATACTAATTTGTAAATATACACAGTCCAGCAAAGCCAAAATTCTGAGCAGTGATGAACGCTCTTTAAAAAAGATAAGCAGCAGTAACGTGACAGTGGTGGCACATCAAAAGGAAGGTGGGACAGGCTTCTCCGCACGTCTCCACATTTAGCTGCAACAAGGAGATGGGGCCTGGGAACCAAGAAGAGACAGGAACTCCATTTATCGGTCAAAACTGCAGAGTAAAAATGAACCCTAAGGGAAATACGAGAGGGGCAATTTCTATCTTCCAATTACTTCATACTGTTTAAATCAAGAAACATGGTATCAGCTGAACTGGTAAGGTACACCCCAAGTTAGCTGCGAGCCTTCCTCCGGCAGCAGCCAAGCAGCTGGCCATATGCCGGGATCCATCTCCACCAATATTTAAGCAGGGCGACTTGGCGCACAGCAAGCGGCTGCCTGTGCAGGTGCAGCACTGGCCCGGCCCCCCGGGCGCTGCGCTGCAGGCACACCACCTCCAGCCTCCCGCCCTGCGGGGCACCTGGGACAGGCC